TTTGCTGTAAAGAAGATTCTGAGTGTTTCCCATGGGCCATGTGTTGAAGGCTTGGTACCTAGCCTCTGGTGCTACTAGGAGAGGTGGAACTTTTAGGAAGTGAGGCATACTGGGAGGAAGTTGGATCACTAGGGGCATTCCCTTGAAGGGAACTCAAGGGGACTCAGCCACTTCCTGTTTCTTTGCTTACCATCTGCCATAAGATAAACAGTTTTGCTTTAGTGCATATTCACCATGATCTACCTCTTCACAGGTCCTGTATTAGGCAGCTTTTCCCATTGGCAGATTTCCCATTGGACACTACCTGACAAATTAAAGAAAGAAAGGTTTAATTGAGCTCATGGTTTGGGGAAATTCAGTTTGTTCCAGAAATCATGGAAAAAAATACAGAGACACAGAATTCGGGTAAAATAATAAAAGTTTTACCTGCAAGCAGGCGGGACCACCAGAAAACGGTCTGGTCAGTGTCTGTGAAGTTCCTTGTTAGTCTCTTCTTTTTATACCTTTGTTAGTCATTATCTCATCCCTAATGGTCTTTGATGTGTAAATACAATTCCAGTTCCTACTTACAAGTCATAGACATAAGATAGACACATATACATTGTAAATTCACCCAGGAATTGCAACTTTGTTAGGTTAAAATGTTATCTATAATGAAGTTACTGGTTAAAGAATCAGACAACCATCACCTTAAACAACAAGTTATGAGAAAAGCAAATCTTAAAGGAATACATTACTTATTTTGCTTCTACAACTACCTTAATATTCAATCTACTAAGTTATCTAAAACTTTTCCCTATCAAGTTCAGAGTCAGCTGGCTACAAGGCAGAAATATCATGGTGGAAGGGCATGGCAGACCAAAGCCATATAGTTCCTGGCAGCTGGGGATCAGAGCAGGGGAATAGCAACAGAGGGGAACAGGCAAGGAACCATAATAGTACTCAAGGCCCTGGCCACACATCCATGGCCCACCAGACACATTCAGGAGTGTGCTTTGCTAATCTACTAGGCATTTCTTAATCCAATGAAGTTGACAAATCTGGATTAACAGTCACAGGCCCAAAGGCAACTGGGCCAAGAGACCATGGACAAGAACCTCTGAAAGCATGAGCCAAATTAAACCTTTCATCCTACTTCAGTTAATTTAACTTCTATATTCCCTGCTTAATCCTCTAATATCCTGTCCAGCAGTTCTTGGACTCCTCTGGGTCTTTAAATCTATTACCCTGCAAGTTTTTCACTCTCCTCTGCAGTGACACATTGCAAGCCTCACTTCATTGTTTATCTCACTTAGTTTCCACTTCCCAATATTACAAATCAGTTACCTGTAAACATTTCGGCCCCCTTGCTGTGGTCTCTCTGTAGCATACTTAGCTAGTTTTACCCAAATCCAAGTGAAATACAACTCAGCCTACTCTGTGTCTGGCCAGCAATGATTAAATACAACTAGAGAAAAGACAGTCACACTTCTGGGCATCTCTTTAAATCCATGACCATAAATCTCACTAGCGACCTATTGAAGGTACAGCAAAGGCATCATTTGGAGACAATACAATGACAGTACAGGGTTCCACCATTCAGGGAATAATATGTATTAGTCACTTTCCTTGCTGGGACAAAGTAACCAACACCCATAGCTTAAAGGAGGAGAGATTTATTTTGGCTCACAGTTTCCTGGTCAGCTGGCTCCAAGGCAGGATTGGCCTGGGCAGAAGAAAACAGTTCACATCACAGTGGCCAGGAGGCAGAGGGTAAAAGGAAGAGCCAGGAAGAGAGATATATCCTCCCAGGCTGTGCCCTCAGTGACCCTCTTCCAACCAAGCCCCCCTCCCTACAGCACATTTAGCACCTTCAATACAGTGCCCCCATGACCCAGTCACCACCCAAACACATAGTGTTTTTTAGGGACACCCCAGACCTAAACCATAACTGTACCTCAAGTCCATGAGCATTATGGGGTGCTGTATCCCGAAAACGTAAAACACACAGGCCCTGGAACAGGAAGAATGAAGAACGGCCCCGTTTACCATCACTCTCAATGACCCACTTGGGGGATTTGCACTTCCCACCTGTGGAACTCTGGGTACATGGGAACCGGAGAGGGAGCACTTCCTTAAATTCACATCTCAGGGGCCTCACTTGCATCACCTTCATTCCAGCTGTAGTGGGTAGCATGGTGCACCATCCAGATCTCCCCGCCAGAGCTGTCCAGCATTCAGGCGAGGAGCATTGATACTCTTTCACCTTCCAGTGGCTGGATATGTAGGGAGTGTGACTAAGTAAGGAGGCTCATCAGCCAAGGGTAAGCCTGAGAGACTCAGCTAGAGCTGTCAGCTGCCAGTGCTCCCTGCAGCTGGGACAATGAGCTCAAACTGTTCTAACCAAGCTCTCTCCCTCAGCCTGGCATGTTCCTTTCCTAGATTTCCAAAGTACTCACCTCCTCCCTTCCCTCAGAATTATGTTGCCAAATAAGTCTCCTCTGACTATATATAAACTAGCACTCTATCCTTCAATATTCTCTTCTGTTACTCTGCTCTATTTTTTTTTCATTTTGCTCCACAATATCTTGCAACTCTTGATATATTTCTTTGCTGTTCTGCTTATTTTGGTCTCACTCTACTAGAGTTTATGCTCCTTGAGTGCAGGGCTATGATTTGTTTATGTTTGTGCCCCAGTGACCAGATTGCTTCTTGGTATACAATAGAGAGATACCCAATACACTTTTGTTGAAAGAACTAAAATTGTCTTGTATTTATATTCAACTCAAAGAAGGCAGGGTGGTTTAGTGGAAGGAGCGAAAGAGTTTTGGAGTTTGATTTTTTAAAGCAGCTTTAGGTATAACTGATGTGAAATAAATCACACAAATTTTTTTTCCAGTATCAGGAATTGAACTCAGGACCTTGTGCTTGCTGACAGGTGCGGGTGCCACTGAGCTAAATCCCCAGCCAAATCACACATTTTAAAGACATAAACTAAGTATGTTTTGACATAGGTATATACTCAGGAAACCATCACACAATTCTGATAATGCACATATCCTTCATACCTAAGAGTTTCCTCTTAACACTTTTTTTTTTTTTTTTTGGTACTGGGGATCGAACTTGGGACCTTGCACTTGTGATGCAGGCAGCGGAACCACTGAGCTAAATCCCCAGCCCCCTCTTATGCTTTTTATAATCCTTTCTTCCCACCCTTCCCCATTTCCAGGCAACCATTGATTTGCTTTCTGTTTTCAGAGTAGTTTGCATTTTCTAGAAGTAAGCCATCTGTATTCTTTTCTTATTTTTTTCTTTTTTTGGTCTGGCTTCTTTCACTCAATACAATTATTTTGAGACTCATCCATGTTGCTGTATATATAAGAGTTCATTCCCATTTTTTTGCTGAGAAGTATTTCATCTGTTTGTCATTCATCTTGGCTGATGAACATTTGATTTGCTTATAGTTTAGGGATTAAAATAATACAACTGAATATGTATGTTTTTGTATGGGTATGTGTTTTAATTTCTCTTGGGTAAATACTTAGGAGTGAAATGATTGGCTTATATGCAAAGGTATGTGTTAAATGGTTTAAGGAACAAATTGTTTTCAAAATGGTGGTACTATTTTACATTCTCACCAAGTGTGAGATTTCCAGTCTCTCTGGATATTTTCTAACAGTTTTTTGGTACTGGGGATCAAACTTGGGACCTAGCATTTGCAAGGCAGGCAGCAGAACTGAGCTAAATCCCCAGAACTGACATAGCCTTTCTAATTGTAGACATGTAATAAGTATGTACTTGAGACCTTACTGTTGCATTCATTTGCAAACTTCTATTGCTAATGATGTTAGGATTTTTTCAGACGCTTATTTTCCATGTGTGTATTTTCTTGGGTGAAGTGTTGTTCAATTTTTTTGCCCATTTTTATCGAGTTATTTTATTATTGGATTTTGAGAATAAAATACACACACACACACACACCACATACAGGGGATATAAGCCCTTTTTGGATACATGTTTGCAAATATTTTCCCAAGTCCAGTGATGGGGAACCTTGTAGAGCAGTGGTGGCGAATCTATGGCACATGTCTCACTGGAGGCATGCAGAGCCCTCTTTGTTGGAGAGCTATCCAGGTTGCCCCAGCAGCCAAGTATAAGATTGACAGTTATTTTTTTCTAAACTAAAGCTTTAGTATTGATATTTAATTGCAGTGTTGGCATTTTGTGATAAATACGTGTGTTATGGGTTATAGTTTGGGCATTTGGTCTCTAAAAGGTTTGCCATCAATGTTTTAGAGCTTTCAGAAAGAGAGTTCAGTGGTACTCATGCTGTAGGTTTGCCACCACTTCACTTGCGGCTTATCTTTTTATTTCCTTAATAGCGCAGAAGTTCTTTGTTTTGAGAAGTCCAGTTTATCATTTTTTAAAATGGATCATGTTTTCAGTGTTGTATCTAGGAAATTTTGCCTACCTCAAGGTCATAAAGATTTTATTTTATTTTCTCTAGAGATTTTACAGCTTTTGGTACTAGATTTAGGTTTATGACCCATTTTGATTAAATTTTTTTGATACAGGGTCTCCATATGTGGATCAGGCTGTTCTGAGCCCAAATGGTCTTCCTGCCTCATCTTCCCAAGTAGCTGGGATGACAGGTATGTGCCAGTATGCCTAGCTTGAGTTCATTTTTGAATATGATGTAAAGTCTGGATCAAAGTTAATGTGTTTTTTTAAATTTTGCTTTTGTTTTGTTTTTTGGTGCTGGTTATTGAACCCAGAGCTTCAAGCATGGTTACCCAATTGTTCCAGCATCATTTGTTGAAAAAGTCTGTCCTTTCTCCTTTGATTACCTTTCCACCTTTGCTGAAAAGCAATCCGTTGGCATGGCTTCCTTCATCTCTTTTTTTCAGTCTTTGTAATGTCTGTCCCTGCCAGTCTCCCAGTGGCCCTAGTTACAGGTGAGCGCCACACCAAAGGGGAGGAGCTACTTCCCAGGGTCCTTCCCAGAATCAGAGCAGCTCCAGTGCTGCCCTCGGGGACCCAGGAAGCCCCTGAACATCTTGTTTTGTGCCATGTGAGAGCTATACATGACAGAATGGCCAGAGGACCAGAGAAATGGTTGTCTTTGATTGGTTTCATTCTCTTCTGTCTTAAAACGGTGAGTTCACCTTTCCAACAACTATTTAGGGGAGAAAAGAGACACGTTCATTATCTTTCATTTTTTTGTGGGAGGTGAGGGAGACAGAAATCAAAATACTTTAGGACCATATCAAGACTATATATGTTTGCGTGTTTGAAATTTAATGTGATATACTAGAACAATATTATCATTATATTTTAACAACAAAGATTTCTGAAACATCTGTCAGTGGCTTCTGACCTAGTTCAATAGGCAGATTCAAAGGAAAACCTGCCATAGTAATGTGATCTGTCTCCAGCCTCTCAATTCTATTTAGGATTGCTTTGTGGTAGATTTTAGCGCTGGGAAATGAGTTGGGCAGAAAAATATTTATGTGGATTCAAAAATTGCTCACATTTTGTGTAGAAATATTATGATAAATATTATGATAAATTTACTGCTCTGATTTATGTTTTTCTCTATGATTCTAATTTTCACAACTTTCCTTTTCAGGTTGTTTCAGCAAAAAGAGGTAAAATTTTCTGACATCCCACTTTTCTGTCCTCATATTTGATTTTAATTGCTATTGTTGATTCATGGGCTACCTCAATTTTTTTTTTTTTGGTACCAGGGATCAAACTCAGGACCTTGTGCTTGCAAGGCAGGCACAGCACCACTGAGCTAAATCCCCGGCCCTGGGCTAACTTGAAATATAAAGTCTGTGGCAGGAAAAAAACTTCAACATTTTCTGAACATTCATGCTGGGTGCTAACCATTGTATCAAGTGCTGGGGAGACAATAACTTTTCCTGGTCACTAATTGCAATCTTTTCTTCTATATCTGAAATTCTATCTCTCATTGGTTCATTCTGTGCAGACTTTCGATGGAGTTTTTAATCTCCTGAAAATCTGTTTGCATCTGTTTTATGGATTCCATTTGTTTCCTATGTTGAGATTCCATCATGTTCCTCAGATCCTCTATTTTTTTTTATCTGTGTCCTCTCTAGATTTATTAATCATGTCTTGCACCATGAGCAAAATCTTTGCTGTTATCTGAGTAATTATTTCTGATTTCATTTTTCCCAGATCCTCTTTTGTTGCCAGTTCAGAGTCCAGGTCATTGAGTATCAGAGTGTTCCATCTCGTTTCCCTTTGGGGTTGCTGTAGGTGATCCAGAAGTCTGTTTTTGAGGCTTGTTTATGTGTCTTCTCATTTCCACAGGGGGGAGGTGCTTCTGGTGCCCTCGAGGCTCACCTTCTCTGCCCTAGGAGCTTGGGATGGCGGTGGGGAAGCTTCCTTCTGGGTACTGGGACCGGCTCAGCTTCTCTACCCTAGGAGCTTGAGATGATGGCAGGGGAGCTTAGGGAGACAATAACTGATAAGACGAGTAAATGGATCAAGTTCAAAAGACAATATTATTATTAAATATTGTGATGTGTAGACCCATGTAGCAATGCATTTTCTCACACATAGTTTGCTATGAGCAAAGTATTACAATGATAATATTCCAGCCAAAGGAAAAAATCTTAGTTACATTAGTCTAATTTATATAAATTTTCTTATTTGTTTTGTAGAAAATAAGAGGAGAAAATTAGAAACGTTCTCTTTGAGTACATTTTCAAGATTTCCTACTTTAGTAAAAAGGAATTTTACACTCCTAAAATTACATATTTGTAACATAGGCAATGGTGTTTGGGAGACTAAAGCAAGAGGAGAGTTTGAGGCCAGGCTGGGCAATATAGCAAGACTCTTTCAAAAGCAACAATAATAACAACAAAACTAAAATACAGGCAATAATAACTGGAAGCTGAAAGGGGCTTTCTTTTAAAAAGATTTGATCTCTATTGTTAATGAATGACTGAAGGCAAAAATAATTTCTCTAGAATCCTCTGCTGGCTCATACTTTCTAGAAATCTTAATCTCAGGATAGAAATTTATTCATAGGGGTTTAGATTATCTGTAGGAACCATAAAATATCAACTATTTCAACAATAAATTCTCACAGTGATTCAACATGAATTAGAACAATTTATATTATGTTGTCTATGCCACAAAAAAGGAAGTACAATTAAGACAATTAAAAAATTTTGTATAGATATGTAGCTGAGCTATAAAATTTCATAAAATCCATAGATAAAGTTATCTTTAAAAGATTATTATTTCTTTCTCTATTCTTATTCATTTACCTTTTTTTCTTTTCCTGAGGGGGGTGAGACAGGGTCTCACTATGTAGCTCACACTGCCCTTGAACTCACTATAGAGCTGAAATTGGCTTCAAACTTGAGAGGATCCTCCTGCCTCGGCCTCCAGAGTGCTGGGAATTACAGGCTTGGGCCACCATACCTGGCTGTCATGTATCTTATTCTTAAGAGTTCTTCAGGTTTGACCAGAAAGCTATGGGAAGGACTGCTTGGCTATATTTAAATTGATTTAAAGTTTATTTATTTACAGTACTAGGGATTGGACTCAGGGGCTCAAATGTGCTAGGCTACCAGTAAGCCACATTTTGAGACTGAGACAGTCTTTGAAAGTTGCCCAGGCTCCTCTTGAACATTTGATCCTCTTGCCTCAGCCTCCCAAGTAGCTGGAATTACAGGCATATGCCACTGTAACTGGCTTATATTATTTCTTTATATTATTTAAGTTGAAATCTCACTATGTTGCCCAGACTGGCCTTGAACTCCTAGGCTTAAGTGATCCTCTTGACTAAGCCTCCTGAATAGCTGAGACTATAGTTTCATACCACTGTGATTGACCTTTAAGTGATTTTTAAAACAACTGGCTTTTAGGTGACAAAAATCTAGCTTTTTTGTCTCTTCCAAGGTCCCAGAACACTCAAGACACACTGAGCCCTCAGAACAGGACTCCTTTTAGTCCCTATAACATCAACACTTTGGAGATGAGAGGAAAAAAAGGGTCAGGCTCAGATACAAAGGATGCTGTCCATTGATTCACCCCTGGCTTTTCACTAGATGAGATCTGTATAATTTGTACTGTATGGAAGGCTTTATTATGGCTGTTTGTATTTAGATTCTTTTCGGGCTTTGCCATGGGCTGTTTATGTATATCTGGCCTCTGGGGCCTCTGGGCTAATTTAGGTCTCTGAGTTAGTAGAATGCACAGGTGCTGAGAGCTAAAAGGTTTCATTTCTGGCTGATCTGAGTGGTTGGAGAGGAATAACATTTTCTCTTTCATCAATCTAGTCAGTGGGTTAAGCATAGGAATAATAAAGGAAAGAAGGGACTGCTGCTATGGTATAAGCCTAATGCTTGTCACTCAAGCCCCCCCCCATATGGAAGGTTATGGAGAGTGGGACTTTCATACTTTCCTTGAGCCTCCCCCAGTCTTTATCAATGATAAGGGTAATATGACCAGGGATGGGGGTAGAGCTCAGTGGCAGAGTGCTTACCTACATTGTGAGGAGGCCCTGGGTTCAAACTCCAACACCTAAACGAAAAATAGAAAAGGTAATGTTCCTTCAGAACATCTTCTGTCTTGTCCTTCTCCCTTTTCGTTTGTCCATCCTCACTCTTCATCTCACTTCCATTGCTCTGCCTTTCTCCATCTGTTCTCCAAGGGTCTCTTGGGAACTGTCACCCTACCTAGTTCACCTACCAGCCCGTCCATCCTGCCAAACAAATGTTCCCAAAGGCAGGTCCCACCTCTCATCTTGCCACCCCACAACTGGGCACTCAGACTCACTCAGACCACACTAGGTGGTCCCACCACTTGCTCCTTCCCTCAGGTCCCCCAGCTGCTGACACACTTTCATTCCCCACTCAGACTGTGCCCCACATTTCCCCTGCCCCCCAGGGAGCCAGTGACATGTATTGTCACATCTCCCAGAGAAACAGAATTCAGAAGTGTTGATCTGCTTTCCTGGCTGATGCTGGTCAGAGCCTGCCAGAGCCAACTATAAAACAGGCATCATGTCTCTCTCTCTCCACCCTGTGCCTGCCCCAGAATCCCCTAACCCAGGCTGGACTTGAACTTGTGATCCTCCTGCCTCAGCCTCACAAGTAGCTGGGATGACACCATGACTGTCTCACGTACACACTTTCCACATGCCCACTTAATCTTTAGAATAATCCTAAAATATAGATATTTTATATTTCAAAGTAAATCCTAAAATGTAGGTATTGTTACTAGTCCGCATTTCTCAGGGAAGAAAACTTAGACTAGAAGTGGTTAAGTGTTTGCACATATTCACATGCCAAAGTGAAAAAGCAAAGTTGGGGCTCAAACCTAGAGTTCCTCAATCCAAATCCTTTGCTCTTTTTCACCATGCAACCCTGAGTTTCACTCTGCAGATACTGGCTTCTGCCATGACTCCTTCCCAGCACATGTGCCTCTCCTAAGTCAATTCCTTAGAATGACTATGGGGCAAGTTGTATGACATCCTCAGGCACTGTAATAGGCCCAAAGCAAGATAGTCTGTGACATGCTAGCCCTTTAGGTCCACTCCAGGCATGCACTGTCAGCCTCTTACGTATGTAGCTGGTTTGTTTATCATTTTCTCAGAAAGTTAGTCCATTCCAGTAAGCAGGACTGGCTCTCACAGGAGATAATATAAACAAGGAAAATCAGAGAAAAGTACGTATAGATCACTTGAAAAATGATTGGGAGATCAGAAAGGGAATGTATGTGGGTAGGATGAAAGGGGGAGCTCCTAGTAGGCTTTCTGTTCTGCAGGGACCAGAGGGGACATGGGCCCTTCCTTCCTGAAGAATCAGCTTCCTCTGACAAATGGCTATCGGGCCTGTATCATCTGCCAGCATTAACCCTCATGATTTCCTTTTGATAGCAAAAGAGACAGTCCTGGTTGATGTTCCAGGAATGTCTGGCCTCTGCACAGTGGAGACTTTGTTCATTTTTGCAGCATGGTTATTTCTGATATGCTGCCAAAGCCAACTTTCTGGGCTATTGGTACAGAAAGAGAAGGTTGTCTGTATTATGCACCAGGGATTAGGCTAGGGGGAAGGGGAAGAGTTGATATTGCAAATCACTCATCTATATTTATTCTTTCTACCTTCTTGCCTGACAGTTTTGCTTGTTTGTTTTGCCCTTTAGATTTTACTTTGGCATATAGTGATTTTCCCTATCAAATGGCCAAGTGCTAGTTAAAAAGCTGTCTTTGAGACAGCTCTTACTGTGTTATCCAGGCTGCTCTCGAACACATTAGCTCAAGCAATCCTGCTGCCTTAACCTCCCAAGTAACCGGAATTACAGGTGCCTGGCTCTTTCGACCCCTTCCACTTGGATTTCCTATATTCAAGACATTTTTATGTCTGTGTATTTTGTGAAGCAGTAAATCTAATTAACATGCTGTGCCTTCTACACCATACTCAAAATATAGGAAAATTTTGTATAAACTCATGATCTAACTATTCATATTCCCATGACAATAGCCAGGTGCACAGGAGGACAACCACAGCGTCTCATTCTTATCCTGAGGCAGATCTTTGGATAGAGAAAGAGAGAATAATGTTTATTTTTATTTTGTAGAGAGGAATCTAAAAATTGTTCCACTCCAATAATAAAACGTAGTATGGAGCAATTATAACAAAGGACTCAATTCTCCTTCCTTCCTCCATTAGATTAAATGCCATTTGGGAAATGTGAAAAGTGCATAAGGGAGTGACCATGGCAACTGGGGGGGGCGGGGTGGAGAGGGAGGTGGGTTCACTTGGAAGCCAGTTTGGGCACAGGGAGCTGACATCAATGGCAAAGCAGTCTGGGAAATCTGCAGACTGTGAAACTAGAGTAGAATCCTCTGGAATAGAGCGCCTCACTTATTCTCTCTCTCTGCTCAGAGTTCTTTCCTGCAATCGTTTCCCACTCATTTAAAAGTACAAAAAGTGCAAAAGACCTCATAGTCAACTAGGAAAACCCTCTAAAATCCCATCACAGCATGAGAAGCTTGAGCTTCCAGCTCTCCTCTGGAGAGCAACCATGCCTCTCTTCTTTTCTTTTCTTTTCTTTTCTTTTCTTTTCTTTCTTTCTTTCTTTCTTTCTTTCTTTCTTTCTTTCTTTCTTTCTTTTTCTGGGAAATGAAGGCAAAGCTTTTATCTAAAGAATGGCACAAGAATGATTTAGTTTAAAGAGGAAAATGGTGAAACAAGTAATATTTGCATATAGCCTGGCTAATGCACAACTTCGAACTTTCTTTCAGCTCCTGAAATACCTACTATTGATCAGGCATATTCAAAAATCAGCAACAGTATTACTGTAGAATGGGCTACAGTGCCAGGAGCCACCAGTTACTTGCTCACGGCTGAAGATGGGGACACAGTCATTGAAACCATGGTGGCCAATTCCCCAGGCACTGTGACGGGCCTGAAGGCTGCAACATTATATCAAATCACCATCAGATCCATCAGTGCTGCTGGGAGAAGCCAGGCATCACCTCCAAAGCAGGCAAAGACAGGTAACTAGGTGCTCATCTTCTGTGACCTGGACCGGTTACACTGGTACTGCAAAGGCATAATGTAATTTAGAGTCATATAAGTGTTACAGTTAAGGGCTCAGAAATGAAAATAATCAAATGATGTTTTGTGGCAACTCAGACATCTGAGGAATAGATGGTATTTAAATGCCTGATGCTTTGCTTCGGAAAAGAAAGCCCACTTCTGTGGATCTTTAAGAGCATCCCTATCCAGCCTGAAGGAGGGAGGCAGGAGGATTGCAAGTTCAAGGCCAGCCTGGGCCACAGAGTAAGACTCTTTCTCAAGAAAAAAAAAAAAGCAAAAACAAAATCATACCTGCTTTTAAATCTCTGAAAAGAGGGAGTTCTGTTTTTAATCATATCAAATAAAGAACATATAGAAAGATTTTTGCTGTTCTCTGACTACATAGCACATGTTAACAAACAAAAGCATTTAGAACTTGTAATCAATATTAATTAAGTTGATTTGACAAAGTTGATCCTAGGCATATTCTAAAAAGGTATATGCACATTAAAACAGAATAATCTATCATTCTTCTCATTTATTTATATTATTACAAGAATATTTTATCTAATTTATGACCAATTTCCAGTTCAAAGTGGTACCTAATATTTGAACCTCCCGCATTTCTCTGCCACATTATTTATGATTAAACACATTTAAATAGCAATTATTTAATGGAATCCTGCCATGAATCGTTTTACAAAGCAAATAGCTATTTCACAATGTGGATAATCAACCTTAATTTACTTATTGCTAAGTAATTTGAATTATCCTCCACTGGGCTTTTGTAACACATTTTTTGTTTTGTTTTCTTTTGCTTTATTGTCTTTTCAGTGTTGGCTGCACCAATTCTAGAAGCAAGCTCTCCAAATCCAGACTCCATCCTTGTGCAGTGGGAAGCTGTGTACTTGGCAATTGGATTTTCTGTGTCCATTATGCAAGCCAATGGCTTGGGTAGAATTTGGAAAGAGAATACTACAAACACTTCCTTGACCTTTAGCAATTTAGATGCTGGAACTCTCTACACCATAAAGGCTTATGCATGGAATGCCAATGGAATACCAGGGGATGATTCCACCTGCAATCAGAGAACAAGTAAGGATTTCTCGTCTCACCCTCAAATAATCTCATTTTTGATTAATGAGGAGACTGTGCATTGCAGCCATCAAGAGCAATGTTAAGTGGTAACTACAGAGCAGCTGGCAGCAGCTGTTTTTAAATTTATTATGAAGTTATTTATAGTGCCTTGACTCTTCCTTGTCAGCAGTTTAAATGCTTACTGCATGGATAAAGAAATGCTGTGAGAATACACAGAGAGCAGCACTTTCCCCCCTGATATTCAACTCATCTGCAGCATCCAGTATTACACAGAAGGGGACGATGTTTGTTAGGTTTACCCATCACCCCTAGTCCCTTCCTGGGTTCAGGCCAATAGTCCAAACAAAAAGAATTGGGCCAAACAAGAATTCATTTATTCAACAGACATTTACTGAGTGTATGCCAACTTGAGGATAGCACTCTTCCAGAGCTACAGTAGCAAACAAGATAAAGTTCCAGCTGTCCTGAGGCTTTATGTTGTGATGGGAATCAGTGTTTCAGATTATCTGTCAGAGGCCTTAACTTAGTCCTAAAGCTGATGTGGGGCTTCCCATCCCTTCTCCAGTTGTAGGCTGAGAAGCTGGACCGCAGCATGTGTTCTTTTACCACCTCAACCGCAGGGACACCCCAAATAGGGGATCCTACTGCATAATAACTGGACATCCAAACTGAGCTGCTGAAATGAGCCAAAAGAAGGGAGAGGGCATCGAGACTTTTTCTTCTCTGAACAAGTTGTCCACTACAGGCAAAGTGACCTAAATAGGTGCCAGACTCTCACCAACTAGATTAATCAGATTAGCTGTTAAACCCTTAGGGAGGATCAAGGAAAAGGTAGGAAGAAACAGAAAGTTCCTTTCAATTTTCCCAAGTTTGGAGAAAAATGAGAGCCCCATCACCTATAGGCCAAGGCAGAAATTTAGGAGGAAGAGAATTTACCTTGTATAATATTTCTATGGGGAAAAACCATAGCAAGTAGCTATGGTTATTCATCATATGGGTTTGATGCGTCAGGATGTCTGTGACAAACCAGGCCCCTGGGCCTTTTCCTTGGCTATCTCTGTCTCTGTCAGTCTGTCTGCCTCTGTCCCCCCCATTCATTTTCCCACAGACATTTGTTGAGGGCTCACTTTGTGCTGGGCATAGTTTATCTGATAGGAATACAAATTCAAATGAAGCATGTTCCCTACACTCAAAGAACTATGTTTAAGGGTGCATCAATCAGTGGTCGCAGTTCTGTGTCACAAGCGCTTTGCTACAGGCCACAGGCACAGTGTGACACAGGCTGGTGCATCTATAGTGGGTTGGACATGAAGAGCCATCTGGTTCTTTGAAGTCTTTCTTTTCTTTTGTTTCTCTGTATTTTAAAACTTAGAGTTTGGATGTAGCCGCTGTCCTAGTCTGTGAGGGCTATTGAACAATGTACTGAAAGTTGGGTGGCTTTAAACATAAGGAATTGATGGTTTATGGTTGTGAAATTGAAGGTCTGAAATCTAGGTGTTGGCAGAGTTGGTTGCTTCTGAGGGCTGTGGAAGACGAAACTTCTTAGGCCTTTCTCCTGGGCCTCTTGATGACTATCTTTATGTTCCTATGACATTTCCTCTGTACTCCTGTGTCAGTGTCTACATTTTTTAAAATTTTTATTTATTGTTTGTTTGTTTGTTTGTTTTTGGTACCGGGGATCGAACTCGGGTCCTTGTGCTTGCGAGGCAGGCGGCAGAATTTTTTTTATTTTTATAAAGACATCTTAACTAATTATATGGGGTATGACACCATTTCTGGATAAGGTCACACTCTGAGTGTCCTAAGGGTTAGGACTTCAACATATGAATTTGTTCCCCTATTCTACTTATTTTTCCTAGCTCTCCCAGGACCCTTGTGGAAAAAGCAAGTTGTCCTAAAACACTGTAGGCTACCCTTGCCAGCTGAGGGCTTAGCACTGTGCCAAAGCAGACCTACCACTGTGACTAGCTGACCGTGCAGAGAAGGAAGGGGCCTGCCAAGAAGGCCCAGAAAAGAAATATATCTGATGCTTGCCTTGCAGAGAATTGAGTCCCTGTGTGCCTGTACCCTAGATGTATCCAGAGCATGCTCTCTGCTCACAGGCTGTTTCCAAGCGGCTTCCAAAGGCTGACTGCATGGCCTTCACTAGAGCAGAAGTCCCAAACGAGAAGCGAGGCCAGTGTTTCCACAGCTCAGAGCACATCTCCTCACGCTTTTTCATTTGTTTTGTTTTTTCAGGCAGGGTCTCGCTATTTAATCTAGGCCTGCCTTGAACTTGCTATGTAGCCCAGGCTGACCTCAAACTTTCAGTTGCCCTGCCTCAGCCTCTGGAGTGCAGAGTGGAATTCTGCATAGAATTATAGAAGTGTGCCACCAAGCTTTATGAATGGGATAACACTGAAGAAATCCAGGCATATTTTATATCACTGAGAGGGAAATGTTATAAAGACACAAAGACTGCTTTGATATGTGACCATCACACTTGATGACTTAAGGCTTTCCTTTCTTCCTTCCTTTTTTTAAAACACTGGAGACTGAACCCAGGACCTTTGCACTGGGCTATATCTCTGGGCCTTTTATTATTTTGATATAGGGTTTTGGTGAGTTGCTGAATTTCCCAGGCTGCACTTGAATTTGTGATCCTCCAGCCTCAGCCTCCCAAGGGTGGTGGGATTACAGGTCTCTTTTCTTCGCTTTGATTTAGAATGGGGAGCAACTTTGTTCCTCTAGAAGCAATTATGACTTTAAAAGCTATTACAGGGCCAGGGATTTAGCTCAGTGCTTCTGCCACCTGCACCGTAAGGGCAAGGACCCGAGTTCAATCCTTGGTGGAAAAAAAAAAAGCTATTATAGTAAAGTCTTAGCAGTAGTTAAAAATAAAGAAGGCATATGTTTAGCTTCATAATAATAGAGAAAGAAAAAATGTTTGATTTAAAATACAATAGTAACATACTCATATGGCTCTTTTGGTTAATTCGTTTATCTATGTATTTACTTGTTTGCTTTTGTGGTACTGAGGATCCAAGTCAGAGCCTTGTGATGCTTACACACCTGCTTTACCAATGAGCTACATTCATAGCCCCCTTCCCAGCGGTAATCTTGGTTATTCTTCAATCATTTGTTAAATGGTATATTCATTCATACATGCATACAAAAATGTACCTTATACTGATTCTATTATTTCCATTTTGTAGATGAGAAAATAACAAGTTTTTTTTTACAAACTTCAAGGGTGGTTTATTTAAGCCAAATAATCTGGGCAAGACACATTACACAATTTGAGAAAGTAACAAATTGAACAGAAAATATGGCTAGGGTCACATCGATTATTATGAGTTTGCATTGTTAATGGGAGATGTGTTATAAGCTCCTAGAGACCCTGTATCCCAATCTTATTCTTTGAACAATTATATTTATCTAACTACTCTATACGAGTATTTTATCCTCTGAGCTCCTCAACATTGTTAGGCTAAATATTACTTGGGTTCTTTAGGTTACTACAAAATCTTAATTTTTTCTCAAAAATGTAGGTCCTCATGCCCCTGCCAACATTCAAGTCTCTTTTGACAGTGGGGCTCTGAAGGCATCTGTTTCATGGACACCGACAGAAGGAGCTTTCAACTATACTGTGATGGCCTTGAGTGACTCTTCTGAGCTTAGCTGTAGCACAAGTGTCAGTTCCTGCAGCATCCCTTCCCTCCAGTGTGGAACTCAGTACCTGATATCTGTTTTAGCAAGTAATGATGCAGGATTTAGCAAGTCCTCTTCAACGGTGAATCTGAAGACTGGTATGTAAACAAATTGATATCTCTGCAAGGCTAGCAAGTCAAAGTGACAGCCATAGGGAAAGTGAAACTTCCCACAGTGTTTCAGAACATTCTGCAAACAGTGAAAACCAAAGCTGGGTTTAAATGAAAAGAATTGGAAATTCTAATGAGTTTGAATATTGATAGGGAAACCAGGTACTGTGCATTGAAAAGCACGTACACTGTATTTGAAAATTAGGTGATCTGGCTCCTATTCTAGATCTTTCATTTGGTTTTTTCTTTTTTATTGATAGAGTTATGACAATTCTAAGATGCAGCTGGAGTCATACATAGTTCTAACTGTGCAGTAGATTACTGCCTGTTCTTGACCTCATATTTCATGACAAAGACCTAGTGGAAACTATTTTTTAAGATAAGGATGGTATATTTCTGGCTCTGAATGTGGGCAGATATTTTCCCACTTCCACTCTTAGCAGAGATATAAAGACATATATATGTGGAAGTTTACTCCTCTATTTAAAAGTGTTTATGTGTTTTGGGAATTGAAATTAATCTCTTGTGAAGACCTACTTTGCCAAAAGCATTGATATGTATTTTATTTAATTCTATGGCAACTCAGTGAAGAAGTCTCTATTATCTCCCTTTTCCCATAAGAAAATTGAAGCTTGGAGAGGTTAAGTAATTGTCTCAAGGACATTTCAATAATACGTGGATTCAAGCTCAGAGTTACCTGATTTCAATCCTCTAAGCCAAAGAACATGTAATAATGCCCACTTTATCCAATAGTCAGAATTATGTTATTGTAGGTTAAAAGGCTTCTGAGCAGGGAGGAAAGAGCTATTATTACTAAGCTTAAGCACTCTATTCTACAGAGAGAAACAAACAGCAATGAAAACAAAACCAATCCCTCAGACTCACACTTTCTTAGTGTTACATTAAATTGTGGTGATTTGGCTTCTAGTTTGACAACTATAATTTAATGTGGATGGTACATTTGAATTGGTTATGAGGACAGAATAGCTGAGAGTGAAAGAAGAAATAAGAAACACTTCAAAAGCACAGCAGTTTTGAATTAGTTATTTAATATAGGAGAGAACCCAACTGGAGTTCTTACTTCTTAGATGCACTTTAAAAGCATCTAGGGAGCTTTTATAAAATCTTAATACCCAGGTCCCACCTAAAACCAGTTGAACTGGAACTGCTGGGAATAGAGTCTGGATATGACTGGTTTGTGAAAAGCTTTCCAGCTGATTCTAATGTGCAGTCAGAGCTAAGCGCAACTGACTAGCCCTGTGCACTTATCCAGGAAGTATGCTGTAGTTACTTGTATATAACACAATCAGTCTTTATTGTGAGAATAACTTTGATTTATAAATGTGGATAGGTCACTGGAGTTTGTTATAGTGGTTGGGCCCTACAGCACACATTTGGTTCTTTAAAGAAAATCTTCCAGTGGTTCTGGTGCATAGTTTTGCATGTTGTACACAAAATTCAATCTGTTATAAAACTCAGATTTGCTGATTTGGATTGTCTTGAAATCTTGGATAATTGGAAAGAGGCACAGAAATCTGTTGCAATAGTCTCACAGCTGCTTATTATTCATCATTTCCTAGTTGCTTGTGCTCCTGGAAGAGTGACAATCCAAGAAGATCCCCCGGGCCATCTGTCTGTGGCTTGGTCCAGTGTTGATCTGGGCGATTACTACGTGGCTTTTGTCAAGAGTGATGACGGCTTGGAAGTACACTGCAATACCTCCCTCACCCAGTGCAATTTCTTATCAGAGTGTGGTTTCACTTATTTTATTAGTGTTTTTGCCTATAACAAGGCAGGACAAAGTCCTTTGGGTGATGTATTCAATTATACCACAGGTAAGTCACATCTGATGCTTGAAAAGGGAGTTTCGAGTTCACTAAAGTCAGCAGCAGAAAATGGATCACTTATTTTACTTACTGACTCACCACCTGAAAGTCATTCTAGGGCCATGAAAACAAAGAGAATCTTTTGTCTCATATGCTGTCCAGTCTAGGAAAAGTTGGCTTTATGGACTTGGGCTTAAGAAGAATGCAAGGTTAAGAAGTGAAAAGAGAGGAAAGAATGCAGTCTGTTCAACCCTGTTCTGAAAACCCGAACCTTTCACAAAGGTTTGCTGAGTGTTCAGGGCTATGTAGATCCTGAAGGGAATGCAAAACCTTTGTTTCAGAAGTTCACTGGTTCTCTAGGACCAGAGAGACAGATGCAATGGCCAATATGCAACATAATGTGAGTGCTTTGAATTAGGACATGTGGGCTGAAGTCTTAACTTGATCACTAACTCATTCATGTGATGGGGATAATGATGTCCTCCTTGCTATTTAGTATCCTCCACTACAAAATAGGACAATAATAACACAAATGTGAAAAGGTCTTTGTATATGATAAAACAGAATTCAAATATTTTTTATTAGCATCACTCTTACCATTACTATCATCATCTACTAGGTTTGGATCTTATTATGGCAAGGATTATGTTTTCTTACCTCTTTGTCACCTGTGTTTATCACAGTGTGATCAGCTTATGAGAGATACTTGAGTATTGAAGAACAAATAGTGTCTTAAAATTAACTATATTTAGCAGTCCCAGCACCCAGAAGGAAGCTCCCCTGCCTCGATCCCAAGCTCCTAGGGCAGAGAAGGTGAGCCGCATGGGCGCCAGAAGCACCACCCCCCACCCCGACAAAATGAGAAGACATGTAAACAAGCCTCAAAAAGAGACTTTTGGATCACCTACAGCAACCCCAAAGGGAAATGAGATGGAACAATCTGATATTCACCCACCTGGACTCTCTGAACTAGCAACAAAAGAGGATCTGGGAAAAATGAAATCAGAAATAATTACTCAGATAACAGGAAAGATTTCGCTCATGGTGCAGGACGATTAATAAATCTAGAGAGGACACAGATGAAAAAATTGAGGAGCTGAGGAACATGATGGAATCCCAACATAGGAAACAAATGGAATCCATAAAACAGATACAAACAGATTTCC